TTTTCTCATATCTTCAAGTGCCCAGAGGGGGCTCTATATTTTTAGATTTCCTTTTTTGAGCGCAGATCAAGCCTCATCCTGTGGCTAGGCTAGAGGAACTTCCCCCCGTGTCCTCATGCTTCAAGGCGGACAGGTCCCCGGGGGAAAAAAATACATAAGGCTTCGTCCCCACTGGCCTCCCCGGTCAAGTTGAGACCAGAGTCCTCAGTGGGAGGAACATGGGAGCTTCTACAAGTACCTCCTAGAAAAGACAGAGGAAAATACCGCCCTTCTCCGGGTTCTCAACGAGAAGCTAAGTGAGGTCTGTGGGAAGGTGGAGAGGCAGGAGGCCGCCATGATGACCCTTCAAAATACGCAAGAGGAGCAGAGCGATACCGCAAGACCCACAAAGCCAGGCTTCTGGAGCTTCAGGATGCTTACAGCAAAAGCTGGACGCTAAGGGGCGGGAGCATGAAATTAAAGCCCCGAGGGAGTTGCGGGCAATGCTCATCAAAGCGCTCTCACCTACATTCAGGAGCACCTACCCGAAGCTCTAAGAAACTAGGAAGTTCCTCACATACAGCCTGTTAAGTCCAAGGGGATAATACAGGCTTTCCGGTGGGGAGGAGAGGTGGGAGTAACCTGAGGGAGATTAATAACGTGGGATCTCATCCCCTGCTGATCCTGTTTGCAACCCACCATGGCACCTCTGAAGCTTTGAAAGCAGCTAGAACAGCAAAAGGGAAGGGCACTCTTGTTTTCATCACCCCGGACCTCACCCCAGCGGATGCCAAGAAGAGGAATTTTCTCCTGCCCCTGCAGAGGGACCTGGTGCGGAGAGCCAGGGACCTGGTGGGGAAAGCCAGGGTCTGTTCCTAACTGCTCTACCTGGCCAAGCTTCGAGACCACATTGTGGGAAGAAAACTGGGCTTTGACCCTTGGTGAGGTAATGGGGTGTAAGGAGATCCAGGGGATGCATCAGGGACCAAAGGCGGACATGAACCGACGGTGATGGAACGTGCCAGGATTGGATGGTCTTCGGGCAGTGCGGCTGGTGCAGGCTGGGACTACGTCGTTGATACCTTGATGCCACATATCCTTTACCAGTCAGCGGTCCCCAATCTTTTTGGCACCAGTGACCGGTTTCGTGGAAGACAATTTTTTCACGTACCGGCGGGGGGGGGTTTGGGTTCATAATTGGGTCTTTCCCCCTTTTCAAAGAAGCTCTACAGCGATGTTTGTTTTTTACTCATTTTGGCTACTAGGGTTAGCTTGTGGGCTTACCAACACTGCGACTGAGATAAGTGCGCAGTGCGGGAAAGAGGCGCAGACATAAGTGGTAAAGAAAATAATGGGCGGGCCACGCGTGGACTAAAATAAGTGTCAGATTCTGACTTATCATAAGGAGTGCGCAACCTAGATCCCTCGCATGCGCAGTTTACAGAAAAGTTCGCGCTCCCTTGAGAATCTAATGCCGCTGCTGATTTGACAGGAGGCGGAGCTCAGACGGTAATGCGAGCGATGGGGAGTGGCTGTAAATACAGATGATGAAGCTTCATCTGTAAATACAGATGATGATGAAGCTTCATCTGTCAATACAGATGCTGATGAAGCTTCATCTGTCAATACAGATGATGAAGCTTCATCTGTCAATACAGATGATGATGAAGCTTCACTTGTCAATACAGATGATGATGAAGCTTCATCTGCCAATACAGATAATGATGAATGCTCATCTGTAAATACAGAAGATGATGACGCTTCATCTGTCAATACAGATGATGATGAAGCTTCATCTGTCAATACAGATGATGATGAAGCTTCAGCTGTCAATACAGATGATGATGACGCTTCATCTGTCAATACAGATGATGATGAAGCTTCATCTGTAAATACAAATGATGATGAAGCTTCATCTGTCAATACAGATGATGATGAAGCTTCATCTGTCAATACAGATGATGATGAAGCTTCATCTGTCAATACAGATGATGATGAAGCTTCATCTGTAAATACAGATGATGATGACGCTTCATCTGTCAATACAGATGATGATGAAACTTCATCTGTCAATACAGATGATGATGAAGCGTCATCTGTCAATACAGATGATGATGAAGCTTCATCTGTCAATACAGATGATGAAGCTTCATCTGTCAATACAAATGATGATGAAGCTTCATCTGTCAATACAGATGATGATGAAGCTTCATCTGTCAATACAGATGATGATGAAGCTTCATCTGTCAATACAGATGATGATGAAGCTTCATCTGTAAATACAGATGATGATGACGCTTCATCTGTCAATACAGATGATGATGAAACTTCATCTGTCAATACAGATGATGATGAAGCGTCATCTGTCAATACAGATGATGATGAAACTTCATCTGTCAATACAGATGATGATGAAGCGTCATCTGTCAATACAGATGATGATGAGGCTTCAGCTTCATCTGTCAATACAGATGATGATGAAGCTTCATCTGTCAATACAGATGATGAAGCTTCATCTGTCAATACAAATGATGATGAAGCTTCATCTGTCAATACAGATGATGATGAAGCTTCATCTGTCAATACAGATGATGATGAAGCTTCATCTGTCAATACAGATGATGATGAAGCTTCATCTGTAAATACAGATGATGATGACGCTTCATCTGTCAATACAGATGATGATGAAACTTCATCTGTCAATACAGATGATGATGAAGCGTCATCTGTCAATACAGATGATGATGAAACTTCATCTGTCAATACAGATGATGATGAAGCGTCATCTGTCAATACAGATGATGATGAGGCTTCAGCTTCATCTGTCAATACAGATGATGATGAAGCTTCATCTGTCAATACAGATGATGAAGCTTGATCTGTCAATACAGATGATGATGAAGCTTCATCTGTCAATACAGATGATGATGATGAAGCTTCATCTGTAAATACAGATGATGATGACGCTTCATCTGTCAATACAGATGATGATGATGAAGCTCATTCTGTCAATACAGATGATGATGAAGCTTCATCTGTCAATACAGATGATAATGACGCGTCAGCTTCATATGTCAATACAGATGATGATGAAGCTTCATCTGTAAATACAGATGATGATGACGCTTCATCTGTCAATACAGATGATGATGAAGCTTCAGCTTCATCTGTCAATACAGAAGATGACGAAGCTTCATCTGTAAATACATATCTCGGCCTCGCTCTGCGTTGCGTTGCAGAGCTAGCTGAGTAGATAACCTCGCGTTTCCAATAAACCCTCAGAGCCAGGGTGAACATCTGCCTCCGAACGTCATTTATTGAAATTGAACGGTAGAGAGAGGTAAAACTGGTAAGAAAACAGCACAGATACAGCATCTGTTAATACCCAGAAAAACCAACACAATGAATAAACACCACAACATCATAACGTTGTCTTATGAATGAGACATTTTGTTATTTCAAGTTTGAATCTACTTACTCGATTACGAGTAAATCACAAGGCAAGCTGCAGGCTTTATTGTCCACTAGGCCCCACATACATCGTAACAATTTAACAGCATTATAAAGGGTCTAGGAGACTGTTGGTCAAGTCTGGTCCGATGAGCATTACGTTGTTCAAGGAAATGCCCTTAAATTGAGCACTGGAATCGAACACCACTCTGATCTGATCCGGCTTCTTTGGGTGATACACGCCAACGATTGGTAAGTACCAGCATTCCTGTCCTTCTTCTAGAGGAGGGGCCGCTTCAGCGTGACCACTGTCAAATATGTTTTTCATGAAGGACACAAAATGATTCTTCATCTCTGGTCTCTTGTCCAAGGTGCAGCGCAATGAGTTGAGCCGTGAGAGGGCTTGCTCTCTATTGTTGGGTAGCCGGCATCTGGGATTACGAAATGGCAGAGGGGCAACCCAACTGTTTGACTCATCTTGGAAAAACTCTCTGTCCATTATTTTCAAGAATTCTTTATCCTCTAGCGATGGAGCAGGTTTGTCGTCGTCCTTCGTTGTCACGAACACCGTATATCCAACATCATCTTTCAGCATAGAGGTTTCTTCGTCGGCCTGCATGGTACAGCCTTGACTTCTATCGTCGAATTTCTCTTTCAGCGTGAAGTGGTTGGGGCAAGGTTTGAAGAGCGACGTGCGTCCATTCGTGAGCACACTCGTTCTGAATGTGCTTATGTGGTCTGGTTTGTGTGTTCCATCGAGACAGACATCACCTACAATGACCCATCCTAGGTCGAGTCTCTGGGCGTAGGGAGCGTCGTGAGGTCCGTTGCGTTGATCACGAACCTTGTGGGTTTCAGGTGTGGGTGGTGACGTGTGACTTCGGGCGTGGGAATCTCACTCCTGTCGTCCGGTATCTCATTGCACTCTGTCACCGTAGGAAGGGCTAGCTTCATGGTGCTATCCATGGTTTCCACCATGAGGCCGCTCGCTCTTCTACCAGCTGCCTCCATCAGTCCTGAGCATGTTCTGAGCGTGTATGGAATGGAATTCCCACCTACGCTTAGCTGATCAAAGAACCTCTGACCTTGCCAAAGACTTGTTGCTCTGGTCGTCCATTATGGCGTACATCCTTACTGCCCTTTCAGGATGTCCTTTGGGATACACTCGGACGAGGCATATCTTTGAGCAAGATCTTCCTTTGAAGCCTTCTCCACAGACTTCTGTGCATTTGGTTGTGATTGACGAAGTGAGTGCGGCGGTCTCGCCTTGCTCCCCGCCGTGCTCTGCTTCGGGATCGGAAGCCTTAGTGCCACTGGGTTTGTAGTAAAATGTGTGCAGAACAGTTGCGTGTTTGTCACTGCCACATTCCTCTCACTTGATATCTGCCTTGCAATTCCTTGCAAGGTGGTTTGTAGAAGCACAGCATTTGAAGCACACTCCAAATTATTTCAGGATGTTCTTCCGCTCTTCCAATGGCTTCCTCCTGAAGTCACGGCATTTCTGGAGGGAGTGAGGTTTATCATGCAATGGGCATTGCTTCTCTGGATCCTCTATCTTTTTCTTTGTGGTGGTTGTCTGGACGGAGTTTGCGAATGTCGTAGGAGAGACCTCAGTCTTGTGTACAGAAATTGGCACTCTCGCTGTTCCTCGTTTCGCCATTGCTCTTTCCATTTTTGGGAGATCTGGACTGGAAATCCCCGTGGTGCCAAACATGAAACTCGGGTCATTTCTGGTCTTAGCCAGGTTGCGGATAAACTTTGAGAAAAAAGAGAATGGGGGGAATGCAACCTGATGCTCTGACTTGTATCTTGAACCTGCTGTTCTCCATTTTTCCTTCACGTCGAATGGCAATTTCTCTACTATGGGGTTCACGCCATGGTAGGTATTCAAGAAAATGAGACCTGGTAAATAGGGGTCAGCCTGGGCTGATTCAAGCTCCATCAAAATATCTCCAAGCTCTCATAACCTTGTATTGTCCCTACCAGATATTTTTGGAAAGTTCTGCAACTTCTTGAAGAGAGCCTTCTCAATAGTTTCTGGGCTACCGTAGCACTCCTCGAGCCTCTCCCACACTGCATGCAGGCTTGAGGCGGGGTCGTCAATGTTTGCTGCCCGGATCCTCTTTGCGTACTCTGTAGATTCGTTTCCTAACCATTTCACCAACAGGTCGAGTTCTTCACTTGCAGAGATGTCTGCATTTCGGATTGCATTCCTGAAGGTAGATCTCCAGGCTCAATAGCTCTCAGAGTGGTCATCAAACTTAACGAGTCCTGTGTTGATTAGTTCGCGGTGAGCCAGGTACCTAGCAAAGTCCCCTAATCCTGCTGATCCAGGGTGTGTCCATACTGGCGCTTATGAGGTGCCATTATTGGCTGCATTCCCTTGCATGCCGTCATTCGCGATGGTGTTGGATTGTGGGCCCAAAAGGTTTCGATCACGTTGGTTTGATCCCCTTATGTGACTGTCTGGAATGTGGGTCTGACATGATGCATCCATTTCTGATCCCACATGTGCGACGCTGAGTCGACGACTAGCTGCCAGGGCAGGATATGCATTTCCACCATTCCCGTAGACAGCATTCATGTTCATTCGGTGTGGAGATGGCGATGCCTGAACGTCCACCATTTGTTCAGTATCGTTTGGTGGAGGAGCATTGATGCATTGTTCAGACCAGTCCAAAATATTTTTTCTGGTGAGTTGATCACGGTCCTTTACAGGTATCTGAGTGCCAAACTCACTCCAATTCTCTTCCTTATCCAGATTGGCTGCTGCTTGGAGCACCTCTGCTTGGGCCCTTGCAGCAGCTGCTTCTTTTTTGAGCTGTAGGGTACTTAACTTAGCATCCAGCTCAATTTTCTTCCGTGTGGCAGTAGCCACTAATATACTCTCTTGCTCTCGTGCGGCAGCAGTTGCTAATATACTTTCTTGCTCTGCGTGCTATGCTTTCCTCCATGCGGCAGCAGTTGCTATGTTTGCTTCTTCTTGTATGCGGGCCTTTTCAATTAGCATGGCTTCCTCTTCAGCCATGTAGGCAATACGGGCATTTGCTGCTTCTGCTGCTGCGCGTGCCTGAGCTGCTGCCATACTAGTAGATGATGTCTTTGAGTGTGCTGAGCCTTTAGATCTTGTGGTGGACCTGGATGAGACAGAGTGCTGAGATCGGGTCTCTCTTAAGCCCTCCACACGGTCTATTGCATCTTGTATCACTGCCTGTACATTATCATCGAGCAGTTCGAGGAAGTTCTCCTGCGTGCGCACTCCCTCAAGGCCCTCATCTGTTTTCATCTTCATCAGGAGGGAGATGTATTTATTTGCCAGGAGCTTGTAGCTTGAGCTGCTCACCTTCACTCGCTGGATGGCCCGGTGAATTGAGGCCACTGTGTCTGAGGCATTGGCAGCTTCAGATATATCAGCTTCAACCCGGTCCCATGCCCTTTGTATCCTGGCATCAAGGTCTTGCTTCTCAGCATCATAGCTTTCCAAGGCCCGTTGTGTCAGCCTGACCTCTCTTTGGGGCCTTGAACTTCCTTGGTCCTCTTGTGGCTGGATGGGAGGTCCTGGATTGCCTAAATCACCTTCTTCAGCATCTCTCCCTGCTGAACTGTGGCTTTCCATGCTGAGATGCTTGCAACACAATTTTTAATGTAGACTCGTTGCAGAGCTCCTTGCTTGCTGCAGGCTGACTGCTTGAGAGCTCTTTTGCTTGCTGCAGGCTGACTAGCTCCAAGAAGAATGTCTTTTTACTATCTCGGCCTCGCTCTGCGTTGCGTTGCAGAGCTAGCTGAGTAGATAACCTCGCGTTGCCAATAAACCCTCAGAGCCAGGGTGAACATCTGCCTCCGAACGTCATTTATTGAAATTGAACGGTAGAGAGAGGTAAAACTGGTAAGAAAACAGCACAGATACAGCATCTGTTAATACCCAGAAAAACCAACAATGAATAAACACCACAGCATCATAACGTTGTCTTATGAATGAGACATCTTGTTATTTCAAGTTTGAATCTACTTACTCGATTACGGGTAAATCACAAGGCAAGCTGCAGGCTTTATTGTCCACTAGGCCCCACATACATCGTAACAATTTAACAGCATTATAAAGGTTCTAGCGTTATAACAGCATTATAAATGTCCTAATATTATAGCAACATTGCCAGTATCATAAAAACACAAACCAACTTACAGACAATGCTTCCCAAAGTCCCACAACGGTGGCTGCAGCTGTCTTCACGGAGCTGCGATGTGTGCCGCCATCTTGAATTATGTTTTTAATGGCCGACGCCCGCGTGGTTCAGCGGAAATCTAAAATCGCAACTTCCTGGTCACGTGACCACCCCTATTTCAAAAACAGGAAATTCCTGTGTACACACGCCCCACATCTGCCGTGATGCAAGACACTTGCCGTGAGGCAGAACAATACAGATGATGATGACGCTTCATCTGTCAATACAGATGACAGATGAAGCTTCAGCTTCATGCAGCTTCATCTGTCAATACAGATGATGATGAGGCTTCAGCTTCATCTGTCAATACAGATGATGATGAAGCTTCATCTGTAAATACTGTAAATACAGATCTGTAAATACAGATGAAGCTTCCCTCGCTTGCCCACCGCTCACCTCCTACTGTGCGGCCCGGTTCCTAACAGGCCACGGACCCCCGGGCCACGGACCGGTACCGGTCCGTGGCCCGGGGGTTGGGGACCCCTGCTTTACCTGACCGAACGATTGCCACACATTTCTGCCTTGCACCACTCGATTACCTTCGCCCCACCTTTTCCCCTGCACCTGGTGCTTTTTTTCCTCTATTCCCCCGCCCGCCCTTCCTTGACTTTAGACCGATTCCGGTACGGCATAACACTTTTCCCCCTTCACCCGGTCATTTCCACCCAGATGTGCAAAGTCGCACTGTCAGGGCACATCGGCAGGAGCAGTACATGGCGGCATGATCACGTTAAATTACCAGGTCCGGAAAAGATGTCCATGGCACAGGGTTAATTCGATATGTTACTTACATACATATAATAATGAATATAATAACAGCACTGGTACAATTAATTCTACAAATATAGTAAACTTTTGCATGTTTCGGGACAATGAGGTGCGGTGGGACCGCGGGGCGACATATAACGGGCTGAGTACCACGTTGCTAGGCGCGGGAAGATAAAAATATGGAATTTTCGTGACTCTTATGTATTATTTCACGACCCCTCTCCTTCCATGGGAATAATCCTTGCAAGTCTCATTAAAACACGCTTATACCGTGCACATATTGCCTCTATCCGCAGTGAAAATCCCCCCCCCCCGCCCCGCTTGTGGTTCCTTGCACCTCGTGTTTGCAAATTATATGAATAAAATTTATTATAAAAATTATTGACACCATACCACTTGAGACAGTGTCTAACCTCTATCTAGAACTTTACAATGCCTGCATTCATCTCCTTTTGCTCCCAAAGTCATCAAATATATTTAGACTCAATATATAAACCTCTCTCGCATGTCCTGGCCAAATATATGAACGTGTACCTGTCCAAATACTGCGACTACAGGGGACATAACACATGCTTTGAAGCAAACGGAGGGCAGACTGAGATATTCCACGTAACCATTTTGAATGGCTACGACAAATAAATGAGAGATGTACGAGTTAAACTTAAAAATTTTAAACGAAAAAAATCTGGACATCTGTCATGTACCAAACATTGTGGCAAATATGTGGAAATTGGGTCCTTGTCTTGTAAACAGAGCTGACGTCAGTGTGGCTTTGGGTTATTGTTGAGGCTGTACAGATCAGATACATTCTGTGAGTCCAGTTGAAAGGAGAAATCAGTTCCACCTCAGCTTTTACAGAAGATAAATATACGTAGCCTGCCATGAGAACACGTAAACCAAGAGCCCAGCAACCACACTGGGTAATGAAACATTGCATCCATATTTCTATTCTCTAATTAATCACCTTCTCACGTCACCTGTAATTAGGAACCCTCAGGTGAAGCTCACTACCTGCTTTAACTGGAGCAACTGCACATCCCTAGTACAGATGTTTCATTGTGCAGCTGTGTGTAGTTCAATAATGGATTGTAAATTAGTCTAGAGAAGTATGGTGCTTAAGCTGGTAATCAAATATTTCCACCAGTAAAATGACTTATCAGACATTCACGCACTGTGGAGTCACAATAAGGTTGCTGGAAAAGGTAATGCCTGTGTGGGAGGACCTACCCAGATATTAAATCTGGACAGCCAAAGGTGATACAAATCTGATTCTTAAATGCAGTGAGTTCAGAATCACAATATTTATTTATACTGGAGGAATCCGATTAGTTCTAAAGCTTTTTTTTTCACATATGTCCAGTTGATGGCCTCAGCCAAGTCACCAAAGCCAATAATTAGAATTCGTGTTCTCATTTAATTTGACATCATCCAGCTATAAGATCCTAAAATGTTAGCTAATTATTGAAATAACACTTTACAGGGACTCCAAGTGAGGCATGCAATACATTAACTCTCACACCAACTGAGATAGTATTTGAATTATTATGAATCAGGGTCGTGATTCAATACATGAGTTGATTCTTTGATAGTCTCATTTATTGTGACATTTGAAAAAATACCTTCAAATGACAAAAATTAGAATATACAAAGCAAGAATCACCCCCTGCTGCACTAACTTGGCAAGGACCCCCTGAAAAGTCATGAGGCTCTGGGGGCTTTACTGAGTAAAAAAAGCGTAAATATTCTAGATTTGAAGCTTTCGTGACTGCAAGGATCCATACTCTTTGGTTCTATTCAGTAAAGTCACGTAGGTAAAAAATAAAACAACAAAAATCACGACGTTTCGGCCACAACACAAGTGGCCTTCATCAGGTGAAGGGACCGTGCCGTCACGAATAGAACTAAAGAGTAAGCGTAAATATATATAATATTCACAATATTGTCTTGTTTTTGTCTTGTTTGTAATTCTTTTTAGCTCCATTTGCCCAAACATTACCATAAAATGTACAACAACAACAATGCCACCACGACGCTTGTGCCAGGCCATGTGCACCTTGAGGCCACGTGAAGTGTCGAACGCCCACGGGCAGGAGGTCACGGGGCAGACCCAAGTGCCACGAGTCGACTGACTAAGATGACTGAGATGACTGGCTGATGCACCACCTGTGCCCCCTACTGTGCCAACCTGCTGTGCTTTAGCCACCCAGCGCTCCGCTTGTTGTTGTGAGCATCGCTCCTCCGCCTTCCGTTGTTGTTGGAGGGCGACTGTCTCCAACTGCCCAGTAGCGTCCTTCACGAGCCTCCTCCACAGAGGCCAATCTTGACACCGCTGGTACCAGTCATCGGCAAGTCCACTCAGCTCCACGTCCTCCTGTACCACATCACTCCATCTCTTCTCTAGCCCGTGCCGCGCCCGTTTAGCCCCCTCGATCCGGCTGAACAAAAGCTGTTTCGGCATGCGGTGACTGGGCATGCGGGCTACATGACCCAGCCAACGCAGCCTTGCCTGCCGGAGGAGCTCACCGATGGGACCTTGCCCAGATCTTTCAAAGATTTGTGAGCTCCTCACACAATCCAGCCTGGTTAAACCCAGGATGGATCGTAGGCAGGCTAGCCTAAATGTTTCTAACCGGCAAAGATGTTCCATTAGGGGGGTCTACGTTTCGCAAGCGTAGAGAAGGGAGGGAATGACCATGGCCGAGAAGACCTGAAGCTTAGTGCGGAGCGACAGACCAGGTAGCTTCCACACAGCGTTACGCAACCGATGAAAAGATATTGCCGCTCGACTGATTCGGAGTGAGACCTCTGCTGTTAAACTCGAGCCGGTCATAAGCACACTGCCCAGGTATGGGAAACTCTCCACTCTCTCCACAACTGCCCCATCACCAATTGGGAGTTGTGGGGGTGGAGTGTCCGATGGTACAAAATACCCAGGCAGGTGCTTAGTTTTGGTGGGGCTGATGGTAAGGCCCCATCTCTTAGTTGCACGCTCCAGTCTCCAACTCCTCCTCTGAATGAGCAGCTATTACCAAATCATCGGCATACATAACGTGGTTGAGCAATGTGCATACATACATACATAGACAAACATTGATGATTCCACACCTAATTCAGTGCATGTATCCCAAGATTTTGAACATATGTAATTGTTTTAATAAATAGTTACATAGTTACATACCTACTCTCTCGTATTGGGTATCATTCTCTTGATGAAACGAAATATTTGTCAGATTTTTTTATGAATATTAGCCATTTTTGTGTGAACTTATTCAATTTATTTGGCTTATTTTTTATGGCTAAATATCATCACCCAATGCATAGCTTGGTGAAAGTCGACCTTCCGCCAATTCTACACATGTCCCGCTAACGAAAAGTTAAAGCGGCGGGAGTACAGGCAGTCCCCAAGATAGGAACGCCCGACTTACAAACATCCACACTTATGAATGAACCGCCATAATATGTTATTATTTTAACCATCTGACTTGCTAAGGTTCGGTTGTACTTCCCAACTGAACCAAAGAACTGTTTTGTTCCACAGAGTGATCCTCCACCAGCATCCTGCTGAGACTCATTAGTGTCTGGCATCAGGACTGAAGTAAGTGAAGATAAACAGATGTTTTTTTTCTTTACTTTATGTTTTATTTACAATAGAGTATGAATTACAGTATTACATGCAAATGTACAATATTTCTTGTTATTTATAAGTCATTTTTGTTGAACTAAAACACTTTTTATAAATAATAACCTGGATGCGATAGGCCTATTTATCTGACCACGTCAGGGCCATTCCCTCACGTGAAATGATGCTCTGCTGGTCGTAAACATTCTGGATTGTTTATGCTTAGTGACATATAATTACATGTAATTCCAGTGTCTGAGTGTTGGAATGTGATTTTTGTTTGAGTAAATATGTCTGGCTAATCAGTGATGTCCAAGAGGTCATTGCACTGCAACTCATTGATAACTGATTGGCAGCTGTCAAGATAAAAATAGAAAAACATTGACCACTGCCATTAGCTATCAGTGAGCCAATGATAATGAATCGTAAAGACCTCTTACTGGCAGTATAAATTGTTAACCCTGATTCTGGAAATGGGACCATAATGGCATGTTTACAAGCATCTTGTAGCAGCAACAATTTAACATTTCAATTATGCTGTTTACTTTACTTTCAACTCACTCTGCCACGTAACTTTTGGTATCACTGCAATCCTGATTACCTTACAGAATATTAAAATGTTTTTTTTAATGCCACTTCATCTCACAAAAATGCGTAAATGTTACTCAATCTATCCTAATTTGTTTCATATTCTCTATTTACAATACGCAACATTATTTACAACATCATATAACAGTCATATAATATGCTCATGTTTTATCATCATCACGAAACCAGTTTC